GCCCTCTGTCTCCCCTGCGTGTCCAGCTGCGATGCCGTAACGGGATCGCCGCTTTTCCTCGGATTGTTTTTCCACGCAAGCAGTCCTGGTTGTTGCCAGGGAGAAGCTCCTGGTGAATGGGAGGAAGTCTTCCGGGTGACTGCTTCGGCAACACCTGCCCTCCCATTCACCGGTGAGACAAAGCCAAGAGCACGACCCACAACAGCCTGAAGTGCTGTCCCCTGGGACCTTATTCCTGGTGGGCTGAGCTTAATCCAGAAAGCGGGCAGGGAGTCAGGCAGAGGGTAATGGCTTTCTCAGTGACAAATTCCGTTTGCTAACGCCCCCTCTCTGTACGCACACACAGGACGGCTCCCGCCTGTCGCTCCACCAGGACTGACTGCGCGCAAAACTAACCCCCAGCGCCCCTCCACGCGCCTCCCACGCCCAACCGAGTCTCCCTTCATTCCCAGTCCAGGGCTGCGGCTCCCGTGGTGAAGCCCCAGCGAGGGGCCTGTAGCCCATCAGTAATTTATCGCCAGTCCTAGGGGTCTGACCCTTTCAGGATGAGAAGGAAACACTGACCATTGGAAAATCCATGGGACCCTTAGCCCCACCCTGGCAGCAGGCCACGTAGTAGTAGCAAATCCCATACATGCTCTGCAGCACGCTGAGCAGCACTCTGTCCCTCTGCAGAAGGTGGAAGAGAAGCTGCAATACTGGATGGCCAAGTATGAAAATGACACAGACGCTAAAGACGAAGAGCTGGACGCCCTAAAAGCATCAAAGGCAAACAACTTGGAAAGGCTGCAGAGACTGGCTGAGGAGGTAAGACACCAGCAACGTCTCGGTGCTCAGCCGTGCCGAACTGCGTCCTGGCTTTTCCTACCCTCACTCAGATAAGGAGCTGGGACCATGGGAAGAAAGATGAGTGATCCTGAGGTGCTGGGTGTGATTGCGAGCACAATCCTGGGAAGGCAGGGATGGAGCAGTCATCTGCTGTGTGCCACCTCTGACATCAAGGCGGGATGACGTTTCCCCTGGAGCTATTTTCAAGTGCCAGCATGTAATCAGAGAGCTGTGGGCAGCCTCTGGGGGACAAAGACACTGTCCTGCCCCTCGGCACACCTCAGTCTGAACAGGTCTGCTCCTAGCCATGCCGGGGCAAGGCAGGCCGAGGCCGGAAAAGGCAGCTCACTCCTTCCCGCGGACACGCAGAGCTGCACCGTCTTCTCTCAGAAAGGGACCAGTCCCAGTTAAAACCATTCCTGTCCCACAGCGATTTCCTGGTTAACTGCCGTGATCGCAGCGTGCCGGCACAGCGGGGCGGGCAGCACGGGGCAGAGAGCAGCCTCTGGGAAAAGGGGTGTTTTGAAGCCAGAAGGAATTAACGGGCAATCATTCCTTACCATCACCGGGGCTGGGATGATGGAACCGAGGTAGATGTTTCCTGGCGTGCGGGCTCCTTTTCACTCCGTACAGCATCCCAAGGCTGCTGGCACATCCCCTGCTGCCCAGCGTGGGGG